CGCAGGTCGAGTCAAAGTTTGTTCGGAAATTGTGTTCGTGGGTCGAGTTGTTCGTGACTAGAGGCGTTCGCGACCCGAGGTACCACTGTATATAAAATTACGTTGTCCTTCTTTAATGTTCGATCTTTCTCCTTTGCAAACCGTGAGGAGAGAAGCATGGTTAAACGCTAAGCAGATCTCACATACCAGGATCCAAGAGAAGCGAAGCAAATTTTTTGCCGAAGATCTTGCTTTTGCGTGACTTTCCGCCCTGTACCATTAAGCGAAGCATCGAATAACTTATGAGCATCACGCCTCCTTCCCGTTGCCATGCTTGGCATACCTTTTCCCTGTCCTCAAGCGCTTTGAAATTGATAACGTCCCAGACCTAGAATGAAATAAACGTTATACGATGGCGAGTGAAACAACACAAACTTCACATTCAATGATAAGTCATTGTTGTCAAGCCAAAGGTCAAATTCAGCTTTCCAGTTCAGAAGAACGTTCACTGGCGAAACGATTAGCGCAGTCCGAAATCCAAGTTGCTCATAACTGAATATCGTATGCAGGAAAGTTACAACCTAACAAAAAACAGACGATTAAAAAAATGAAAACGTATGAAACAAACACAATGATCAAAACGACAATCACTCCTCCTATTCTTTCCGATCCATAGCTCGAGACAAAACCGACGATGAAACTAACCTACGACGCGTTTATTTGAAGCACAGCACATAACATAAGGTAATTTGAGCTTTAAAAATTGTTTGTGTCTCAAATCATGGATCGAAAAGTAGGAGCAGAGTTATTAATTGGACATGGTATAGAGAAGAGCTTTAAAGACAAAACTGCAATCTTAGAAAAGTTTAAAAGGATCTCCAGGAAACTTGAAAACCTACTGGGAAGCTAATGTAAAACGATTAAATCTCTCTTCATCGAAGCCGCAACCTCGAACTGATACACAACTTCGCATCATCGTCCTGTACACAACATCTGAGAAAGAAAACAAGAGTTTAACCATTATCAAGAAGACACGGCTGAAGCCTAATAATAGCTTAAGCATAGCAAACAGATCAGCAAATGCTGCAAAAGATGCCCGGTGAAGGAAGGTGATCAGCCCAAGTATGACCTTTAACGTTATGATGACAACTTTCGAAAGAGTGCGGTATGTTAAGAAAGTAAATCCCCTATTGATCATCATTACGACCTCGATATTACTGGCACAAACTTGAACAGGTCAAAGCTAACTATATACATCACACCATGATTAAACGTTTTAGAGAAGAATAGATGCCTTTGATAAGGGATTAACTTCAGAATGACAAAAATTGCTTATAACTGATAATCTATGCTACGCAAAAACTCATATGCTCCGCAAATAACAACAATTTACGTACTCACCATACAGAAGTTAATCAGTTTCCAATAATCTAAACTGATACGCGTTACATCCAATTTACTAAAGATGAATTAAGCTGTAAACTCGTTTTACTGCATAGTGATGATAAAATATAAGTACAATACAACATTTCCGATTCTGGGCCGGTTGTTTAAATTACAGACGCTTTGCCAACTCATGACTGAGGGGATCAAACAATACAGACGTTAACTTTATTGCCAACGCGTTTCGCGATGCAAGAAGTAGTATCGTCATTGTATAACTGATTATCAGGCAGCTAACAGCGTAAAATAAATAAATAAATAAATATACATTCATCTGCCGTTGGTAGGTTAAAAAGTGCAAAACAACATCAAACTGGGTTTTACGGCACTTAGGCCCACAACATTGCAGCTGTAGCCATTTCAAGTCCCAACTAGGTCTAACTAAACTTCATCGATGAACAACTTTACCATTCCTCTTAAGATCTCTGGGAAAGCCGGAGTTGTAAGAACAGCTAGCTGCTCACAAGGAATATTCTCACATACTGTGTCTTGTATATATTAAAGAGCAATGTTAGGTAAAGATGCACTCATGTTGACAGCAACATTTTATTGCACAAGCTGGTAAATCTGACTTACCTAAGGCGGGTCGCGCGGCTGCACGAAATTTCAACATCGGAACAAAGGAACATTATGCAGATATAAAACAGCTTCAAGCCACAGTAAAGAGTTGACACTGATGCTGTCGGTGAGCTAGAACTCTACTGGAGCGTGGCGCAGAGAAACCGGCCTTTTGAAACTATGCGTTCATTAACATAAAATATATTTTGGAGTTAGACAAAAATATATTAATAGTGTTGGACACTAAAACATCGTTATGAGAAAAGCGGCACTGCCTTTATTAATAAAAAT